GAGAGCATCAACAGAGCTTAAAGACTTTATTTCGAGAAGAAAAATAAAATAATAAATTATAAACTTTAAATTTATATGGATAGATACAGTACATAAAAAAAAAAAACATTTATTGACAGATTTTACAAAATATATAAATAAGTGCAGTCATCAAGTTGCAATTTATAAAGATTTGAATGTTAAGATGTCTGTGGATTATATATCCCAGGAATGCGGTGATGCAAATCGATGTTAACAACTTTGGATATCCTCGGGTTTAATGTAATGAAAAGTATTTTCTTTCATTTATTTTACTTATGAAATGAGCTAATGGATAATGTATAGGTGAAAAGAAGATAAACCAGGATCATGTCAAGAAAAAAAATTGCAAGAGAGGAGTCATTAATGTTGATTTTTATTTGATTTGCTTGCATTGGTCTTTTCTGGTTGCTAAGCTACACTTAAACTAGACACGATAATGACACGACGACACGATAAAAATGCGCTAAGTGTTGAAGAATATAAACGTCGCAATGATATATCATTCGTGTCGTTATATCAAGTGTAAATGTGGCTTTAAGCTGGACACGCACTGCCTCTTACAACAATTCAAAGTCCACTCCTTTTGAACGCAGACATGATGCCGTCTGCTGAGTTGTTGGTTGCAGTCTGAGCAGATCGTCATTAAAAACGATCCGCTGCATGCGTTGTTGTCGTGTTGCGTTCTTCATAGAATCGCATTGGCCAACGACTGACGGCCAAGTGCCTAGCTTTAAACAGCTTGGTTGTTTATCCTGAGCGACATTCGCTTGGTTACACATACTGTGCGACTTGGGTAATTTCGCCAAAAACATTAAAACATGTGATGGTTTATGATGACATCACATCATGACCCAGTCTGTATAGGCACATAATGACCATATACTGTATGGCAACTGTTTTTTCTCAGGAAAAATTTGATAATCTGTAACATGGGCTTCACACAAGCTGTTTACTCTGAATTTTAGTTTTTTTCAGTTTTACCAAAACAGTCTACTCCAAACAAGATTTAATTCAATAGTAGAGAATCATTTACAACCTGTAAGTGGCATGTCTTACTCTCTGTTAGATGAGTATGTGAGTAAAAAAGATTTAATGTCACTTTAAAACTACACGAAAGGTTGATAACTCACACTGTAGGTCAGAAATTCCTAGGTCACAAAATGTTAAAACATGTTTCCAGAAATCTAAATAATCATTCAATAAGAAAAATAGAAGCAAATGGACAATAATTTTACATCAGATTGAAATCGTGTGAATTCCTAGTGACTGCTAACACTGAGGGATAAATTCAAAATTCACGTTTCCAAATGTCACCGACAATTTTCATGTGGATTCTCAATAACTTCACTTTTTCTTTGGTTAAGGTTTGACTAATCCATCAATGTGACAGGTTGTGTTTTTTTTTTCTTTCTCGGGAGGGGATGCACGTAGGATTATACTCAACAACGAATTAGAGTTTGAAACATGTTGATATCGAGACATGTGTACAAGTTTCTAGCCTGAAGACGTTGACCGCATCTAACAAAGCCTTTCAGGCGCTAACTAGCTGACTATCAAGTTTTATGAGTCTAATCTGTGATTTTTCATGTACATGCATGTGATACTCCACTAGCATGCCCAAATATGGAAATGGTATGACAAATCATGCCCATATATGAATGTGATACAATACTATCATACCCATATATGGATGTGGTATGACACCATCATGCCCATGTATGGATGTGGTATGACATCATCATGCCCATATATGGATGTGAAATAACACCATGCCCATCATGCCCATTATGTGGTATGACATCATCACATTATAAACTCAATGACAGTAGTGTACCAGTATGTCCAAAATTTAGCATAATTTTGTTGGTTTTCAGCACAAATTTCCTATTAATACTAATAGTTACTTTTTACAGTACATCATACTTAATTATTTCATACTTTACACCAATCATTTTTTTAAATAATTGGAAGACATTGTAATACCAGCTCTACATACTACAAATAGTACTATAAAGCTAGTTTAGACACAAGATGCTGCACTTAACAAAACAACAACTGAGTATTTTAGAAAAGCATCCAACATGTTAATACCTCACTAATAATCTATGCAGACGTACATCAAATTTTTTATCACACACAAATTGAAATTTTCTGTCATTTATTATTTTCTTTTACGGTATCAATCATAAATTTCATTTGTACCATGTTGCATGATTGACTGACAATAGAGTGTGTCATATATTTTATAACCTTACTAACAGTAAGATATATTCATGACCTTAATATAAACAATTTGAATAGGTGGAGTTGAATAGCTTGGTGGTTAAGATGCTTGCCTTCCAATCCCAGGGTCCTGGGTTCAATTCCTACCAATGCAGGATTTTTTCTCACGACATAAACAACTCCACTCCCTCATTCTAGTTTGTGTAAAGCATCGTGTGTGTATGTTTGTCTTGTGTAAGGGATTGTCACCTACAAGTAGGACAGTGATATATATTCGTTATTGGCAATCCTTGACACATGTGTTGTGTGCCTGAACAAAGAAAATTTCAGTAAGATAAAGGGTCATTTTATATAATTATTACATGTATACAACAAATTTCAGTAAGACAAGTGGTCAGTATAATAAAAGAATGCACCAACTATTGTCACCACAGATCTCCTTTAAAAGTGGTCAGTTACTAAAAATAAATGCATCTTTTATAAGTCACAAACAATTTCAATATGAAAAAAACCATATGAACTAACAAATTTCAATAAGATAAGTGGTCTTCAAAGGGCACGCATTATGGTAACCATTAATATCAGTAAGAAAAAGGTCACTTCCACTTCGGTAAATGATAAAAACCAAATATTTTTCACTTAAACTTTAACTTATATATATTACTAATTGCAAAAGGCAATGACAGATAATTAAAATTGATAACATTCTTTTTTATTTGGATGTAAAATGATCAATAACAGGATATCAACCAGGTTTCTACTCAATGCAAGACATTTCAAACTCTTTGAACTGTCAATGAAAAAAAAAATAATTTCCAATATATGTCGCTATACATTTCTAATAAATGTCACATACAACATCACAAAATTTCAATTACTAAATATCCACATGGTCCCCAATAGTCTGATTTGAGTGTGACTGAACCAACCTGGTTGTAAAAAGCTTTAAAAATAAATAGAATTTAGGTTTTTTTATTATTAAATTGTATTTCTTGCAACTTTTCTACTTGAAAGAAATTGAATTAAATTATTGAGGTTCATTTAATTGAAGTGTCTACAGGTAAAATATTTAGATATATATATATTGTTTACTTTATTATTTATTACTTTTTATTATTCCAAACAATTCAAGTTCGCCATTAAACAAATAGCAATATACTGCCCTCACATTTTTTACATGATATTATATGTCATTTGATTACATAGATAGAAGTGTGAAAGAATGAAGCTGTAATTCAATGTGCCTTCTTTACAGATATTAAATATACCAATTCTAATTTGATTGGGTTGTTTTTATGTTAAATATCATGTGACAAATTTTAAACCAATCAAAATCCTGCAATGTTTAGTAACTGCTTTGCATATCCACATATTGCTGAGGTAGCAAAAGATTTTGTTTCATTATTCTGGAATAAATAATTAGATGGGTTTTTTTTATGTTTAAATGTCATGTGACAAACTTTTAACCAATCAAAATCATGCTCAACTTCAAGGTTGGGAAACAAAACCGTTCCCAGCTGCTCCAAACCACTTCATAGTACAAGAAGTGAATGATTGTATATTACCTTCATTATGTTTACTTATATCTAGGACATAATTGCTAGGTCAGTTGCCTTGTTAAAGTAATAGTACAAATACAGTTTATTACACTTTCTAAGGAATCATTCTTATTCGTAACATCAACATACCCGCCAATTACAGAATGGAATTTCTATTACCATACATACAGTACTTGCGTATAAGAGGCTTAAAATAGCAAATTACAATTGGAAAACAGGGAATCGCCTTAAACATGCAACATACAAATTTAAGATTTTTGAAATCATGTTCACCCTATGTGCGGATCGTCCATAACATGCAAATTTCCTACTGTCCAATGAACCTACTAAATGTTAGTAGGAATGAACGCAATTTTAAATACTGGGAAAAAAGATTTTGATTAATATAAAAGTTTATAAAATAATATTATTTTGAAGATTAGCCCTACATTTGGATCCGTTTTTAGCCATCTAGATGTAGCACCAAGACCATAATGAGCAGCAAAAAGAGTATGAATTACCAAGTTGGAAAGGGGGGGGGGGGGCGTTTTATACACCGACATACACAAATCGTCCAAAAACCTTCTCAAACTCGGGGGTCGTCTTACACAGACTAAAGCCCGGCACTCTCTGCGCAAAACGGTCGTTGGCCGACACGGTTCCATGCTGAACGCAATGCCACGAAGTTGGACTCAATGTAAAACGGTCGTACGAATTCCCAGCTCAAGTCTCAATACTAAGCCTAGTAGGGAGTTGATTGGTTTGCAATTATCAAAAACAAAACAAAAAAACAGACTTGAACCCAGGTTCCTGGGACTGGAAGAAAGAAATTTGGACCATTAAACTTTTTACCAATATTAATTACCACCTGATCGTTTGAGACAATAGTTAACCAACAATAAAGTTTTTGATTAGAAATAAGAAATTTATTAAGAAATTATCTCCTTCCATGAAAGAAATTTTCATCTCCCCGATTTAAAAAATTTTTTTTTTATGAATTTCAGAAGTCAGGTACAATTTAATATATTGCTGGTATTTCTTTATTTAAAAAAAAAAAAAAAAAAAAAAAAAAACATTTAAAAATTATAAATATGGCAGCAGAGGATGAGAAAACAATCAATAACATCCTTCCAAAACCCATTTCCCCACCCCCCACCCCACTTTCAACTTAACAAATTAAGCCAAGACAATGCTGGATTTGTATTTATCATAGCTTACCTCATCATCGCCTTCAAATTTAAGCTCATTCAGATCACGGTCGTAGGTCAGCCTATTGGCTTGCAGGTTGATGGGCGATTGACTGTTCCCTTCTTTACACATTCTCCAAACTGCTCGTATATTGTACCACTCGTCCGGACCTGAAATGGAAGAAAAACAACAAACTTTATTCTTCCCTGCTGTAGCTTATCAATCCAGCTCCAGGTTCAAATCCGCTGCCACTGTTTCTGTTAACACAGTAACTGGCGTGAATGAGTTTCCTCGTCTAACAGGATGTTGCTGAGGGCACGAGGATGAGTGTACTGTATTGTCCAAAACAATATTCTATTGATGTTAACCCAGCTAACAATACCTTAAGAACATTATTAACATTACAATTGGTGTTAAAGATGCTATTTTGTAGAACCATTATGTACTTATAACCTAATTTCACAACATCAGAACGTCTGAACATTCCTACATCGTTGTGTGAACATTATTTTGTGACACCAAACCACAATATTTATACACGTAATAAGAACTTTTTGTGTTTGCTGGGAATTTGATATGTTACAAAATAATTTGTAAGTACTGTAGATCATTATAAAGAGTTTCGTTGGGAGAAACATGAGAAAGTGACACGTTAGTGACTTTGGGTGACAATATCTATAAAAAAATGTTACCTCCAAAATCATTTGGAACATTCCACTACTCTCATCCTCATAGACCGAGTCAACCAAAAGGTCTCCAGAACCAATCAACCTTCCATCCTCAAAATTTTGGCAATTTAAATGGTTTTTATACCTTAACCACCTTAACAAAGTTAACCACGTTAACCACGTTAACCAAGAATTAAGACATACAGCAAAATTACATAATATACCTATCAGTCAGCCTCATGCATCTATACTTGCTGCCTGACTGATATAATATAATAAAAGTTCAGTATATAAAGGTAAGGTCAATGCACTTAAAATACTTCTGTATAGATCTTTAATTACTACAAAAGCAGGTCAGCGTACTTATAATATGACTAATTAGAAAATTATGAATCCCATTTTCACAACAAAAAATAAAGAAATCGGGTTTTAACCTATTTTGACTACTTTATTTTTTTTTTTTTTTTGTGATGGCCACTAACAATTTCGTGTAAATTATAATTTACTGCGTGTCCTTCAGACTCCGAGGAGCTGTGTTTGAAATTGGTTTTAAAATTCCAGAGCTCTCCGCCAGCTAACTACAGTGCAGCTAAAACTAATCCATCATTTTCTACCTGATCAATAACACAGTTACAATATATAATAAATATTTATAACATATTCATAAGTATTTTGGTTCAAGTAAGTAACATAGTTCTAAGATTTGAAATATTGCATGAGTGATGTGAACATCATTTTAGTTTCAAATACTGTCTACAATTCACATCAGCTGTGGGTGATTTCTAGGCCTATATGCATGTAATTTTGCGTCGTCTGATAATATGGAAATTTCCTAGCATTTCTGACGCCAAGAAAACTCAAGCTCTTACCTATTTTGCAACCGGGATCAAACAAATAAGAAAAATAATCAACGGAGAAGAAGGAATTGAAAGCAAATGGGAAAAAAATGATGAAATGGTATTGCTTATACCCTGTTCATTTGTGTTCATCAGAGTAAGTTGTGTCTAATAATACTGATACTAGATAGGTAGGATTTGAAATGCGTGACTACACTAGTTGGCTGAGGCAGTGGGGGGGGGGGCCCTCTGGCGTCCAGATGCGGAGTCCCAGTGGGGGTCTAGGGGGATAAGGCCCCATGCGCTCTGATGATCTGAGCATTTTTAAGCTGTTTTAAATCAATTTCAGGGAGTGTTTGTTGACAATACCAGGTACGGTAAATAAACAAAAATATTTTTAATTAAACCACATACAAGTTGAGTTTCAATGTACATTATGTTTAATTTGAGCACCTGAACTATGTACAGAAACATTTAATTACTTAACAAACAAAAAATTTATTAAATATTCACGTAAATACTGTCTAATTACTCAAGTTACTGCATGACCATTTTTATATTTTTAATGAAACAAATTTATTCTAATTTTGAATACATTTTCCCCAGAATTTGTGATAATTTGTTATCATGCATAGGCCTATGCTAAATGCATGACAAATTTATGATCATGCACATGTTTCTGCAAAATGCGTGTTTCAACCAAAATCACTTTGAAATGCAGGACCGTCCCGCACGATGCGAGGCGGCTGGTAACTATTTAGATACTTGGCTCTTCCTAGGTCCATTTACAAGGTATCTAGAGTGGAAAATGTGGGTGGAAGGCGACAGTGAAACACCAATTTAGGTAGCTGTACAAGATGAGTTTCGGGCCTGCAAAGTGAAGTTAGAAGTTGTATAAAATACTTTTGAGTAACTATTACCCAAGTCACATGTAGAAAATATATCCAGAGAAATTAAAATCAAGATAAATGGTATCCAGACATACTTTCGATCTACATAAAAGCTGGCTTATTAGCTAAGCCATGCCAACCATAGGATAGGCCTGTAGTGATAAACATACTGTATGCCATGAGGACAAACATGTACATCTCTGGTTATATTATAGGGTAGGCTAATACATTGCCCTAGGTATATGAATACACTGTATAGGAAAGGATCATGACAACATGTGTGAAAGATTTGAGCCTAGGCTATGCCTACGGTAGGCTATTTACGACAAGATACGCTTCCATCATTTCTGCAATATGTTTCAGGCAATAAATTTCAACATAAACAATGCAGTTAAAACCTGTTTTAAATTTTCTGGCAACACTAAAAATATGTGTAACAATGATGAAATCTCGACATTAGGCCATGTAAAATAAAATAATTGGTTAGCATCCCCTCCCTACCATCCAAAAGGCCACCGACCCAATTTTTTTTTTTTTTTTAAACAAAACTCTCACAAACTCCATTTAATATAGGTTAGTTTACCAACCGTCCGCATGCTAGCCAGACCACTTTCAGTTCTATGCTCTACTGTTGTTTTATAGGCCTAGGCCTACTGTTGCCACATGGCATCCATGATGCCTGTTGTGTTGGAGTGAATTGTGCGTAATTATATAGAAATAATTGCATTATGACACTGTTAATCATAGGTAAAGTTTAGTTTCTGCTTGCTATAGACGAATTATATAATTTTTTTGTATGTAATTTTGGTCTCTGTTGATTTCTTTTTTTTTTTTTTTTTTTTTTTTTTTTTTTTTTTTTTTTGCTGTTTTTTCTTGCGACACTCTTTACCATGTTCGACGCAAGAAAAATAAAAAACCTCCCTCCCTACCATGAAAATTGATAACATAAGGATGCTAACCAATTGTTTTTACATGGCCTCACATTTACATTTTCTTCCATATGAATTTATTAATTAACATACATAATAATCATTTATATCATTGGTAAGTCTGCCACTGTATAAGTCAGTATTTTATTAATAATGACTTGCACCACAAACCAACTGACTGTATGTAAATCTATTTTAATTGAAAACTATCACACATTTTTTACTGAAAATCGCTAGGAACATGATGCGTAGAATCTTAACTGCACTGCATGGTAATAATTCAATGGTGATGGGGCATGTACATTAAACTGCTAGCCCTGTTGAATTAATAATGGAGACCTACGACCTGGCGTCTATCGAGAACTTTAAGTGTCCGTCCTACCAACATATTGCCAATGCTGAATCAATCCTCTCGAAAACGTGACCCTTCCTAGGCCTACTATCTATATAGTCCTTTGGAGTAAAGGCTAGCCAGCAGTATGCCTATAGTTAGGCACTGTTCTTTTAATTTATTTTTTCTTTACTTATTATTCATTTTATTTTTCGGATACTTTCACACCGCACCGCACGTGTATACGCGCTCTTTCACTGACAACACATCAATACCTTTGGACTCAGCCAAATAGCTACACAGAAGAGAAGTAGGCTAGGCCTAGCCGCGGGAGTCTCCCGGAAATGGAAGGCCCCCGCGAGTGGCTTCTTCTTCCCATTCCAACTTGGGACCTTGTCTGTTGTACGTATCTCCTTTGTGCAGATAAGCCTACGCTAAACAACATTATTAAAATAACATTACTCATTTATCCTTTTGGGCCTATGCCAATAATATAAAACATTGTTTTACCATCATCAAACTTCGAATGTGTAAAAAAGGAACTTTGTTTTCATCCTATCCTTCAACAGGCCAAAAAGAAAAGGAAGTTTTTAGAACGAATACTGCCCTCTTCGGTAAGAAACTTCATAAACTTTCTTTTTAGCGAGCTTCTCATTGGTTGCTGGTTGCTTACACAAATAAATAATAATAAGTACAGAGTACCAGATGAAAACGTTAAATTAATAATGATGGACTAATGAAAGCTTATTGAATCAGATCATCGTTAATGATTATGTTTTATTTAGCCTCGGGTCAATGCCAGAATACGTTTTTAAAATCTTTGGCGCCCAACTGCTTGTCTCTACTATTTCTGCCTCTCGAAACATAATCGAGAAATACTTATTGCTAAATATTAGATTTATCTTATCTATGAGTAGGTTGTCGCCGAGTAGAGTACAGTAAGGTCGGTAGATCAAATAGATTTATACACAATATTGCGTCTGATTTGCCTGATTACATACATAATGTGTAAATTAAAGTGGCTTAACTAGCCAATTGAAATAAGTAGCTCATACTAAAGGTGCTTAACAGAGGCTCTAAGCTTTAAAACTAATTAAGGCTTTAATCATTATTAGTAGTAACAATACAAAAAAATATGTTTATTTGTCATTTGCATATAATAACGGTACAAAACGCATTATAGAAATTGTTTTCAGCTCTTAAGCTAAAACCACATTTCAATTTACTGAAATTACGGTTTCTGTTGCAAAAAAAGTCTACACAAATTTGCAAAATGGTCTGAAGTAGTTATTACTGTATACGGAAACAATAAACACTAACATTCATACTGCACTATCAACATGATAACCACATATAACATGTGCCTAGTAAAAATTGTCTAGTTTGTAGCTATGTTGTTTGTAATTTATTATCATACTTATAGACATATATGTGTGTATATATGTGTATGCATTCATATCATCAGTACCATATTTACCCGTACTATCTCTCAAGCTTATATATTTTGATCATAAGA